ACAACCCAGTGTTACAGGGTTAGCTCAGAGAGGCAAAGCATTATTCCAACATCCTTCCTTTCAAGGAAAACTATTTCATACACACAGGCTTCGCACCCTTACAGCCAAAACACCTATTACATCAGTGAACTGCTGCAGAACAACTGCTTTTCATAAAGAGATGAGTGGCTGCTATAGTCAGCAAGAAGCACAAGTATTCTAGACAGTCTGTAATATTTATAGTCATGGCGACCAAGAGACCTAGTTACACTGTAGTAAACTGCAAAACCTCCAAGTGGCAAGTTATTCTAGCAGCAGCCAGCAGTACAGGCCAAAACATGATTAACACATCACATCCATTAGTCATCCTGACAGCTTCTTATGCCCACAAGTCTCATGATTTCAGTGCACTCAAACATTGGTTAACAGTGACACAGTATTTTAACTTGCATAGCTATTCATTTTAAGGCAAAGAGGCAGCAAGAGGTACCTTTCCATTTATTCATTTACTGGGAAGAGTTATTTTTTGCTAGGAACGACTTCGGAATTTAACAGGATTCAAAATGAGCAAGGAACATGTATTCAGTATTTGTAAACAAGTTTAACAAAGGTGCAAGGTAAGCGTTACCAGGTAATTCTTAACGCAGTAGAAGAGTAGGCAATGCCACAGTGCTTTCTATATCAAAGAAAGTATTTCTGCTTTGCAACAGTTCGTTATTCTTTTGTTTATTATAAAAGTGCTAATAGGACTGAAACATTTCAAATGTATTAGTCACTTGCACTTCTCACACTGCAGAGTCCATACTGCAAATACTCAGATCTTAAAGAGACAAGCTATGCATAACCGCTTTCAACAAGTCGAAAGAATAGGCCAAATTTCCGTCACCTTTAGCTCACCACAAGCAAACAGTAACTCACACTCGAGGCTAAGTAACAAGAACAATTCACAGCTCCAGACTTTGCCTGGAAGCCACAGGTCTGTCCCGCCTCAACTTCTGCACTGATAAGGAAGGGCCAGCCCTCACCGATTTAAAAATGAAACCCAAATGCCTGGGAGGTCTGTGCTTTATTATTGGTTGGGTTTGGGATTTTTTGGATAGGCTCACGCCAAGTAAGTATTTTGCCTTTTATAGCGCATACACTTAAAATAGGAGTTTCCTAGGCAGCAAAGAACCACGCAGCGTATCAGAGCCGTCTGTGAAGCGTTTCGGGGCGGGTATGAAAGCAGCAACTACCGCGCTTTACTGCACTTTAATGGGATGCCGCTCCTCAGGTGGGCAAAGGCTTCTCTTCGCTCCGACACGGCGAGCAACTCGCTCTTGGGACAACTCACTGCTCCGCTGCACGGCTCTCACGGCTCCTCCGCCGGCCGGAGCGGGAACAAACGACGGCGGCTTCCAGGCGGGAGCCGCAGAGGTCCAGCCAGCCTTCCA